AACTTATAAAAATAACAAAAATAATCACAAATTAGCGAAATATATTGCAAATGTAGCTTATATTAAATCGCCACCCAATTGCTCTCTCCTCCGCAGAGGTTTCAGTTACTACAATGAGCTTTACATGGCGCTTACCGTATTTATCAACAAACTGACATATAATTATAAAGTATATAATATATTAAAGGTGATCTACAGTCCGATCTGCGCATGTGCACAAATGAGCCCACTTTTTATGATACAAACAGTTTAACTATGTTTTGAGTTCTTGAAAAGCCTGATTGTTGTTTCTTGATCATTTATTATACTCTAGAAGCTTGAAAATATAAATAGTTGTCAAATAAAGCTCAATATTTTGGACACAAAAATGTAAACAAAGCCTTTGTTTACATACGGACTGTAGATCACCTTTAAGTATATTTTATAACTATACGTCAGTTAGTCGATAGTGCAATCTGATGGCGATTTAATATAAGCTACATTTGCAATATACTTCGCTAATTTGCGATTATTTTCTAATTTTATTGCAGTTTTAATTTAAATTCAGCCGTTTAGTGGGCAGGCTATAATAAATATTGTAGTTGTGATCGTTTAAATAAAATATATCAACAACAATAGTATAATCTAATTAGCACCAGCCAATCAAATGACAGATTTAAAATATCGTTTGTCTAATCGGCCAATCAGACGAAAAAGCCAGAATCTGGCTTTTTACATGCGCCGCGGTAAAGAATTGTATCAGGCCCTCCTTCATTCGCCGCCTCCAATTAATCCTGGCGAATGAAAACATAAGGGCCTGATACTCAGGTTAGAAAAAAACATGAAAAAAAATATTCAAAAAAAAAATTTCCGACAGACCAACCCTAATTTTTTCGCGATATGAAACCGGAACCACAGGTATTTTTTTTATGCCCAATTCAAATTTTAAACAGCCAATCCGGTTCTTGGTAACAACTACAATTAAACGTCGATTGGCTGCTTGAAATTAGAATATTGTAAACATGCAAAAATGTGTAGGTGTGGTCATAGACATTTATGGGAGTGGCGGCAATACAAATTTTTTATGCGATTCCACAGTTTGGTGAGATCGGTAATATTTCAAGCACTAAATAAAGTAACGAGCAGTAAACCTAGTACTGACACCTAGCTGCTGGAGCTCTGGCTGTCCTGCACTTATTTTGAAATTGAGCTGTGCAAAATTGAGCGGTTATTTTGGCTTCGGGTCTGGCTCCGGCAGTCAAAACTCAGGCTCCGGCAAGGAAATTTTAGAGTGATTTCCGAATTTATTTTATTCCTTTTTGAGTTTCTTCTTTACTTATCAAATATACGTGCTTCGGTGCTTGTTTAAAATTAATTAAACAATGTTTTGTAGAAAGTAAAACTGCATGGCAGTGTGGTATTTTTTCGCCCAAAATACATTGGGGTCAGTGGATTTTTGTATCAAAAGCGATAGCAATGTGCTTGCAGAATTTTCGAAGCCATGAATCGGATCAGAGCAAGTATAATTAAACTTTATAGTAACTTCAAATCATTCAACTTATTTTTTTTCATTACCGGTACCAAAAGTTCATTGAAATATGAAATAATTTTTCATAATTTTGTCTGCCGGAGTTTTCCAAATCCGGCTCCGGCAAAATATACCGGAACTCTGGTACTCCGGCACACAGCTCTATGTGCTGGTTAAGGGTAAGTGGTGATCCTGGATTGGGTGTGTCTGACAGAAAGATAATACTAGTGTCAAACTATATACTGTAAAATAAATATAGTTTATCTATTTCAATTATGGAAAAACATGGATTACTGTCAATCCTCCAATGGGGGCATATCAATTTCAGGCACTTTTGAATAAACAATCAATTTAAGCCGTCATGGTTAAACAAAGATGTAAGTTGATGAGAGTTGCACCTCTCTCGCTCGCATTTGACAGCCAACTCCCATTGACTCTCATACACTCTCATTATTAATGAGTCATTAACTTGAGCTGGTTAAAATTTCGAGGAGAGTGGATGAGAGATTTTGTTTGTTTAATTAATCAGTAGTATTATGTAGCAAACTCTTCTCAAAGTTCTGATCTTCATGCAACTCCTGCTTTCATTTTACCAGCAGTGAGTGAGGGCATATATACTTTAAGAGTTGCCAAACTCTCAGGCAAATTCTTGCATGATTATCGACTCTCGCCCTTTGCGCCGTATAATGCGTCCTACTTTTTTATTTTACCATGTTTACCAGATGATTTACTCGTCAAGGGGAGAGTGCTGGCACCAAATGGGTTAAATAGCATTTCTGTCCTGCTAGCTAAAGGTCCCAATTAATTTTGAGCTGGAGATTTTTGGCTAAATTTCTGACTGT